ACCAATATGACTTCAAGCTTGAGTACCTGAAGGGAGAGTACAACAAGGTTGCAGACGCGCTATCCCGTAGAGCAGACTACCTAGGTGCGCTAGTTTCTGACCTTGGCGTATCTGAAGAAGTAACTCAATCATTGGTGGGAGCCTATCAGGAAGACCCTGTCACGATGGACATCATCCGCAAACTTCAGGCAAAAGACAAGGCCACAAAAAGTGAGTTCGTGATGGTGGACGGGCTACTCTATCTTGATAAGGCCGGAATACAGAGATTGGTAGTTCCATCTAGTGAACAGTTGTTATTTCTAGGCGAATGTCATGACGCAACTGGGCACTTTGGCTACAAGAAGACGAGTGCTAACTTAGTACAACGATTTTGGTGGCCCCGAATGCTAGATGACGCAAAGAAGTATGTTGAGACCTGTCAGGTCTGTCAGCGGGACAAGCCGCGAACTCAAGTACCGCTTGGGTTGTTGAAGACTTTACCTATTCCTGATGGTCCAGGATTGAGTGTTTCCATGGATTTCATGGACACTCTTGTGACCAGCAAGAGTGGTAAGAGGCACATTTTCGTCATCATCGACCGATTCACCAAGTGCGCTACACTAATACCAATGCCGGAGACAGCCAGGACAGAATACGTCATCAAGTTGTTCAAGGACAACTGGGTAAGGGACTTTGGTTTACCGAAGACCATCATTAGTGACCGAGATGTCCGATTCACAAGTGAGCTGTGGAAGAAGACTGCGGAACAGATGGGTAGTCAACTTCAGATGACTTCAGGGAATCATCCCGAAGCCAACGGACAGGCCGAACAAATGAATAGAGTTGTACAGCACTTGCTGAGGCATTACATCAAGCCCAGCCAGGATGACTGGGATGAGCAGTTACCTCTCATCGCCAGCCTGTACAACAATGCTATACATAGTAGTACCGGCGTTAGTCCTAACCAGGTGCACTTAGGATGGAAGCCTAGATCAGCACTAGACTTCCTCCTACCTGAAAACTGACCTGCTGCAACTCCAGGCACACTTGAATACGGTGTGCAATATGAGAAGTTGCTGCAAGAGGCTGTTGAACATATGAAGGAAGCTCAGCAAGCCATGATTGCTTCTGAGAATCAACATCGCAGACAGTCCACATTTCAGGTAGGGGAACGTGTCTGGGTCAAGGCTAGTGAGTTAGGACAGGAGTTCGGAATATCTCGCAAACTAATGCCTCAGTACTTTGGTCCCTGGGAAGTCTTGGATGTAGTGGGAGATGAGTTGGATGGTCCCACATATATGTCATTCGTGTCCCTGGACACCTACGCACTCACCCAGTCTTTCATGCCTCAAAGCTTGCACTTTTCACTGAGACTGATCAATTCCCTTCCAGGAGATCGATGCTGCCCCCAACCATGGATGGACAAGTCGACATCGATCACAGGGATATGCCTGTTCAGAAGCCGCTGGGTCGAGGAAGACCTCCTAAACCCAAGAGAGAGTACCGGATCAGATTCAGGCATCATACGGATCCAAAAGAAGATCGGTGGTTTACCCGGGAGGAACTGATGGAAACAGCTCCTGAGGTGGTGGCAGATTATGAACGGAAGTTGAAAGGGAAGGCACCTGCGAAGTAAGCATCTCAGCGGACTTTCGAAGCTAAGGGGGATGGAATGTGAGGAATGAGCCCTCAAGAAGGGGCCTTGCCATGATGTACATGTTCTGGGCTAAGGCCCCAGCAAGCCTCGTGCCCGCCCTAAGTGAAGGCGGGCCAGCAAATCAACAATAGCCCTCTGTGCATNCCATGATGTACATGTTCTGGGCTAAGGCCCCAGCAAGCCTCGTGCCCGCCCTAAGTGAAGGCGGGCCAGCAAATCAACAATAGCCCTCTGTGCATACATTTCACGAAGTGGGGTCCTTACAGTTGCAGCACGCCAGTTGGTTGGAGTGCACCGAGTTTCGCATCTCAGCAAATGCTGAAATGCCCAGGGCCTCTGAGTTAGTTAGGCCCTGGGCTCCTGAACGTGAGGCCGACAATGCACGCTGAATCTGGCCGCAGGCCTTGACGAGAGAGGCACAACTGCATCTCCCGCGCCCCAACTGTAATGGGCCTGGGTTCAGCCACTGGGGCCCTGTCGGAGGCTGAAGGGAGGCCGCCCACACRCAGCACTGGCATATAGGCAAGCAGGGCGAGTGGGCTGGTATCTTGGCCAATGCTGGCATTGCGGGCACGCTGCGCGGATGCATGTGTGCTGCGCTATGCATGAGCAGCGCTGCGCTGAGGTAAAGCAGGCAAGCGCTAGGTGGTAGGGCGCTGCCTGCATGCAAGGCACTGGCGGCCATAGCCGGGCCGCATAGGTGCAGTGAGGGTGTAGGGCGAAGGTGGTTCTTCGGAGGTGAAGGGCGCTGTGTGGGTACAATGGAGAGTGTGGGTGAAGAGGACACGTACCTGATGATGGTGGAGATCGGCATTGGTGTTGACATCATCACTCGCTGGTAGTCAAGTTGTCTGGTTGCTTTTCATTGCTGTAGTTGTAGGATAGGCTGTAGAGTAGATAGGGCGCCTGGCGCCATTCACAAGAGAGAGCTACATTTGGGTTATGCTGTTGGTGTTGCCCTGTTGGGCATGGACATTGACTCACGATTCTTCTGCATCATTCTCAATTGGATGGTTACTCGGTTCCATTGTACTATCTGCTTTGGCTTTGAATACTTGGACTTCGGTGTGATATTGCATTCTGGATTTCTGTGCTTCGTCCATACTCATGTTCCTTGCACAACTGTGAGATTGGGCCTGGTTCCACTAGTCACGAAATAGGGCAAATAATTGGAACGAATCTTGGGCTAGAACATCAAAAGATACACTGCCATGTTTTCTGTCTTTTGTACACGCGGTGAGAAAAAGACCAAAAAAAAAAAAAAACACAATTCTCCTGAAGAAAACAACCCAACAAATCTACACGCCCCTCCACTGTGGGAAAAAGACAGAAAAGAAAAAAAACGAATCTGCTGAGACCCAAAAAAAAAACGGGTCTACTGAGAACAACACCGGACGAATCTACGGCTCCCTCCACTATGTACTTGTATTCCACCATGCGTCGGGATTTTCCACAGTCACATGCGGGTTCCCTTGGGCCCGCCTACCCTGTCCCCAGCGTTTTCCCAACACTGGCAGCCGGGCCTCCCGGGGTCGTCACACAAGACCCGGCTTACACTTCAGTATATATGAGGGTTCAGCCTCCTGATGAGTCGGTGAAACTCCGATGAAACAGTTTGTCACAGCCCCTCGTTTGTTGTCCTCTTCTTCTTCCCTCTCTGCCTACGCTTTACCGTCGGCAGCTCTGTTTGACTATATTATCTATATATATTAGGGTTCAGCCTCCTGATGAGTCGGTGAAACTCCGACGAAACAGTTTGTCACAGCCCCTCGTTTGTTGTCCTCTTCTCCCTCTCTGCCTACGGTTTACCGGGCAGTTCTATTTGACGATATATATATAAGGTGGCATCATCCTTTTGAGAAGAGAACGAAGGCGACAATAAATGTTCAATTTACTAAGTTCACGATATATATATATATGGCGACAATAAATGTTCAATTTACTAACTTAGTAATTTATTTTACGGAAATTTACCGTAAAATTTATACCGTAAATACTAAATACTAAATAGTGAAGCTTATTGGCATCGGGCGCCACCACCTCCTCGCTCGACACCAGGTTCGTTTGCTTGGGTTTTTGTTTTACTGTTCAGTGGGTGATTTGGGCAGCCAAAGATGACAGTTCTGTCCCTGGAATGCCGCCTTTGATGATCAACTGTCGCCTGTGATGATGGCTGCGAGGTAACAGAACCCGTCTTATGTCGTCACGACTCGCCAGTATTGTCGGCCAAAGGGACTGTGACAGTGTGACAAGGGTGTTTCCCTGCTCAAGGGGGTGGTTGCTACCCCCAGTCTTCTTCCTTTGGTGTTGCCATTCCAACTCATTTTCTGTTTTCTATTTGCACCCTCGTTTCCCCCCCCCCCCCCCCCCCCCCCCTTATGCGTGTCATCCTTTCGCAGGCATCATGCTA